CCCCCCCCAGTGCCCATAGCAGTGCCTTTCTTCCCTAACTGACCGGGCTCTTCTTCCTGCTGGGTGTTAATGCAGCCTCGGGCTTCTCTGCACGCCGCTCACATGAAACCTCTTAGCCACCCTTGGTGTAGATCAATTTTGTTTCTACTCTCACTTCCCACCAAATGGGTCCCTGTGGCTCAGGGTTGTTTGGCAGATTGACTAAGACAGTGGTCACTAGGTACCTAGCACAGTGCCTGGTAGAAAGAGCTCAGCCCCTCCTAACCTCCGTCCAGAATTAACACGTTGCATTCCCGGCATCGAACACACTGGCTCTTACCCCATCCGCTAAGTTAGTCACCTATGAGGGCTGCTTCCCCGTGGGAGCCGCCTCCTTGTAATCCCAGATCTTTCTGTACAGTTGTACTTGTTATAACTACATCATTTAATTAAATGTCATGTAAATTGATGAAAAGAGTCAGAAAAGAGAAAAAGTTGTCTCATTAAAACCAGGACTTTGGGAAGTTTTGATAGAAGCCACTTGCTTAAAATAGCTATTGAATTAGATGTGGGCAGGACAACTGTAACAGACAGGAGAAAGAAACAGAAAAGTAGAAGATTCTGCCCTCATCTTGCTTTGCCCCTGTCTTTAAGCTCCAATATGGGAATCACAGCCAAACACGCATGCAGTTTAGATAGGAAAGACCATGTGGCCCAGCGGTGTGGCTCAGTGGATTGAGCGCCGACCTGTGTACCGACAGGTCACCGGTCCAATTCTCAGGGCACGTGCCTGGGTTGTGAGCTTGGTCCCCAGTAGGGGGCATGCAGGAGGCAACCGGTTGATGCTCCTCTCATATCTATATTTCTATCTCTCCTCTCTCTTTCTCTCTAAAAAAATCAATAAAAACATATTTTTGAAAAGACCATGTGGACCCAATTCCGAAGAAGCACCCAAACTCTACATCAAAGGATTGGTGAATGGATATACATTTTTATGCTTAAAATTAAAACAGAATATTTAACGTAAATATATTCTGTATTATGCTCCCACTGGTGACAAACCAGCCAAATATGGTCCCATTTAGTCCAGAAAAGAGGCTTTCTACCTCGGTGGGTGTTCACTGTGAGGGCTTTCCTCTTCTCCTCTCTGCTGGGATTCCAGACCCATCCGCCCGGCTCCCTTCTGCATTCACAGACCCCACTGGGAATCACTGGATGAACTGGGGTGAGAGCCCAGGCCGGCTGGCTCCCAGGTCAGTTCTTCCTGTGGAATCAGAGTGGTTAGGAACACAGGCTGTGGAGCCAGACTGCCAGGGTTAAAATCCTGGCTCCTCCACTTACTACCTTGTGCAAGTGCCTCAGTTTCCTCACCTGTAAAATGGGGATAATGCTGTTTCCCACCTGACAGGGCTGTTCCTAAATTTCAGTGAGTTAGCACATATAATATAAAGTGCGTGGAGCATTCCATAAGGGTCAGGGAGGACTGGAACTGCTGTGACTACAGAGCATTGTGGCTTTCGGCGTGGCCAGGTGCAGGCTCAGAGCAGTGGTGCCTTCACCAGGGGGCATAATCGGCTCCTAACACAGGGAACCGGTGACTTGTGGAGATGGCTGGCCAGGGGGTGAGCCCTCCCTGCTGGTACTGGTCACACTGGGCCTGAGTGCCAGCCCCCTCACACCAGGACTCACTTCTTTGTCAGAAAGGAGTAGCCTTCTGTCCCCATCCCCAGACCATTGTTTCCATGCCCCAAACACATGGGCCAGCTGAGGTTCTATGCCACCTTGTCTGGCAGGAGGGAAGCCTGGCCCCCTCTGTCCAACATGCCTGCTGGTGGTGACCGGTAGGGGTGACCTTCTGTGCTGGTGTCTGTCCTTTCAGTGGTTTCCAGTGACAGTGACAGCGACTCGGATCTCAGCTCCTCCAGCCTGGAGGACAGATTCCCGCCCACTAGAGTCAGAGACCTGAAAGGCGACAAATCCTGCGGGGAATCGGGTAAGCACACTGCTGGCTTCTGAAGCTCCAGGTGCAGGTGGCTTTGCTGCCTCCTTGGGCCTCTGCTCCCCAGGTGTCTGCGGGGTTGCCCTGGATCAGGAAGGAGAAGTGGGCCTGGGGCTGGGACGACTAGGAGTTAAAGTCTTAGCACCACCGAAGAGCAGGGTGGAAAGGAAGCTCAGGGGTATATTCAGTGGGGGGCGGGGGGCAGGCTCAGCGGCCCCCCTGGCCCTCGGCCTGCGCACCTGGGCTTCCTCGCCCCGCTCCCTATGACCATCCCAAATGAGATTCTGCCCTGTGAACGATGAGACTGTGGAAGTCAGGTACAGAATTCTCTGGACCAGCTCAGCTCTGCCATAAGACTGCAGTGGGACCCCAATAAGTACTATGACCTCTTGGGCCTCTGTTTTCTGGTAGCACAAAAGGGATGGAGCAGGTGATCTCCAAAGCTCCTTCTGAATTTACCATCTCTGAGCTCTCCTCTGTGACCCTGCCATTTGAAAGACAATTAACTGGGGCCTTGAGGCTGGTGCAGACAAGGCCTGTGGGGTACGTTTTCCTCTCTTTTAAATACCCAAAGGTCCTTCCTCAGAAAAGGACCAGCTTCATTTAGGGCTATTCCAGAGGTTAGAACTAGGATATCTGAAAATCTGTTCAGGAGGCTGATTTCAATACATGAGAAAGCTTGATAACTGCTCCAAACTGGAACAAAATTTCTCAGGATGCTGTTCTGGGAGAAGGCTGGATGATCAGCCAGAGCTGATTGGAAAGAGTCCTGCTGGGGATGACAGTTTGGGCTAGATCAGAGATGGCAAGTGCCTGGCACACGTGCTTGTACTTCCACTCCTGTGCCGTGGCAGGCATCACTAGTTGATCGTGATGCACTTTCCCGCAGAGCCTGATGTGGCCTCAGAATCCTTCTCGGCACAGTTTTCCAAGTGGTCAGTATCAATACGAAATGATGCAAGAGATGAAACTGTCCCTGGACTAGGTGATCTCCTAGGCCTCTCGGGCCAAAGGTCCTATCTTAGGAAAGTGTAAAGGAAACTTACACCAGCCTTGGTTTCCAGAGCAAGTTCTACGCTCCCCTCGCCTCTCCCACCGGAGCTCTTGTCCCCTCCCTTCCCACCAGCTCTCAGCTATGACCAAGTGGGTCTCGTGGGTAGGAAAAGACGGATTTCAGTATCACAGGCCCCAGTTCTGCTCTCTTGGCCGGGCAAGGACCAACACACATATCTGAGTGAGGGTCCTTGAGTTAGTAAAGGCAGCAATGAATACGCATTGAGTTCCCTGAAATATAAACCCTTCCCCCACCCGCACCCTCATTCTTTGAAGGCAGGAAAAATTCCTCCTTGCTGTCAATTTTCTTTTTCTTTTTTTTAAATATATCTTTATTGATTTCAGAGAGAGGAAAGAAGAGGGAGAGAGGGAGAGAGAGAAACATCAATGATGAGAGAGTCATTGATCGGCTGCCTCCTGCACGCCCCCGACTGGGGATCGAGCCCGCAACCCGGGCATGTGCCCTGACCGGGAATCGAACCCTGATCGCCTGGATCCTAGGTCTATGCTCAACCGCTGAGCCATGCCCGGCTGGGCTTGCTGTCAATTATCATGTTGGTGACTTTATTTGTTCCTTAGTGCATCGACCCAAGGGCCCATTTGATGGCCTTTATATATCGTGGACCAATCAGCAGTGCCGGAGGGTGGGGTCACACTAGACCATGGCAGCCATGTGGGGGCAGGGGGCGGTTCCCAGGGTAAGGGGCTCTGAGCAGGCAGTCCCATAGCCGCCCATCACAGATCTGAATTAGAAGGCTCTCCATCAGCTCGCTGTCAGGCTGAAATCATCCCTGTGTCTCAGTTTAAGGTCCAAAGGGCCCAGAACTATCTGGGCTCACATATGGTCTCTTGCAGGTGGCATCATGGAGTCCCCCAAGATGGAGCTCGCCCACCCACCCAGCCACCTGTCGGGGAGCCAGAGCAGCCTGGCCAGTGAGACCGGGACAGGCTCTGCAGACCCACAGAGGGGCACCCCACCCTTGCCGGACCCAAAGGGCCTCAGTGAGTACCCAGCCACTTCCTCTAACCCCACCACCCCCTCTT